TTTTATCGACTATGCCAGCACGACTGATTCACTCATAGAAGCCGACCCAATGGAGATAACTAAGTCTTAATAGATTGATATTATTGATTTTGTTATTATTTTTTTTAAAAAATAATATTTTTAAAAAACTTTTATTGATTTTATTTAAAAAAAAATAAAATCGATAATATTTTTTTTAACTGTATATTAAAATTACTATACAGTAAAATTTGAAATTGAGAGAGATTCATCAAACCATCCGTTCGGGTAAATGAACTGGGTACTCGGGTCGGGTACGACTCTCTCTCGGATTGAAAATAGTTTTTGAGGAATGGATTTATTTTCTTTCTGAAATTTTAATTTTTTTCTATGATATTTTAACAAAATGTATTTTTATTTTTTTAAAAAAATTAAATACTTTTAGTTAAACAAATACATCATAATTAATTTCATATATCTTCCTTTTGTTGTTTCGCACATTTAATTTTGGTAGATAAGTATCAACAGTAATTTTTTGCCTACAAATGACTCAAATTCGAAACTTTACTTAAACGATATCAAGTTGTTTACCAGTTGAACAAACTATATACCCTACCACTAATTTAAAACACTAAATTATAAACCCTAAGGGTGCGTTTGGTTCACGGAATGTAAGATAACCAGTGAGAATAAAAGATTATCAGGGAATAGGATTACTAGGAATGTTGTATTTTGTGTTTGGTTGGTTTAGCAGGAATGTAAGATTATCGTGTTTGGTTAAATGAATAAAAGATTATTAGAATGTATATTTGACCAAATTGTCATTATTATATATTTGTATAATATTAAAAATTATAAAATATTTATATATTTTCTTTAAAAAATTAAATTCATAATATTTATATAATTTTTTTACAAAATTTAAAATATAAAAAAGGTTTAATGAAAGGGTAATTTTTTTAACCCCCGAACTTCATATAAAATTTTAATTATAGACTTTTTTGTAAATCTAAAATAATTTAATAAGGATAAATTTGTAATTTAACCTTCGTATAATTTTTATTATTCAATAACAGAAGAATGATATTTTTGAAAAAAAATAAAAATTTAAGGGCATTTTAGTCCAAAACGCCAGTAATGTTACAATACCTAAGGGAAGGGAGGTAATGACATTCCCGGTAATATACTACAAAAAATCTACTATTGGTAATAAAACATTACCGAAAATGAGATTCCCGGCCAACCAAACATGGGAATGTAGGATTCTCATCCTAGGGGAATCCCACAATCCTTGAACCAAACACCCCCTAAATCATAACACATAACATATAAACCTTAAATCCTAAACTATAATTTAGAGTATATAATTTAGGGGTGATATAGAATGATGTAAATAAATAACTTTGAGGGTTAGATTGATGTAAAATTAGTAGGGACAAAATTGATAAATTAAATCTATTATATGGACAAAAGTGACCCTTAAACTTTTTTTAATTTTTAAAAATTTAGATCAAAATATTTGTTTATGTGTTTAGGGGATCTTGACCACACACATCATCGCCTAATTGAAAATTATCATAAAAATAAAATAGAAAATGCAGTAATAGCCCACAAATCTAAAATTATAACATTTTCCTACTTGGTTTACATTATCCATGGATAATGACAATGTTTTTCTCTTGAAATTTGAATAGATTCTCTATATATCTCAACATATCATTTTTCAACTGTTAACACAAAATTTTTAATAAATAAACTCACTATTTACTAGGGATGGACATAGGTCGAGTTCGGTTGGGTTTTTTGTCCACCCGACTCGACCTGAGAATAATGAGGCCTCCACCCGAGACCCGATCTGACCCGATCAAAATAAGTTTTCATCCGATCCGACCCCGACCAGATATATAACTTAAAAACTTGATCCGATCCGATCCGAAATAATAATAAAAATATTTATATTCAATAAAAATAGTGACTTAATTGAAAAAAATAATATATAGAGGGGTATTATTGTAATTATTCTTAAATATTTTAGGTAAAATTATATATTTTTCTAGTCGGGTCGGGTATTTTTCACCATAAACTCGAACCCGACCCGAACACCACATTAAAAAAAGCCCGATCCGACCTGACACTAATCCGATTTTTAAAAAAAATCGACCCGATCGAGTTGGGTCGATCATAACCCGTCGGGTTCGGGTCTCATGCCGATCCCTACTATTTACTCCAACTCTAAATTTTAGTGATATTTTCTTAGAATAATAATGAATGTGCACGTAAATAAAATATGAGAAACGTCAAACTTAATAAAATCTTTTGTAATCACTCGTACAATGAAATTTTACAAGCTAAGAACAAGACCCATGATGTTTATATACATTGTGTGGTGGCACGTAGTAAAGTGTTAGAGTGTTCAATGCTCACTTTCTTAGCTTCTTTTCTTTAACATGTTCTTCTATGGTTAAATATCTAATATCGACAGGTTTAATTAAATTTTAATATTTATTGTTATTTGCCACGAAGACAAAATTAAATTGTTACAATATTTAGCTTGAATTTAAAAACCTAAGATCATAAATGAAACTCTTCAGCCATATTTTATACGAGTTAACCTTAAAACGTGAAATGAAATCAACTTCATAGGGGAAGTAAAATGTAAGCATTGACGGATCTTAGTGATAGAGTTTGTAGGCAACTTAAAGCATTAAAAAATTAAGAGGTTTGAATTAAAATTTTTGAAGGATTTAGTTCTGCATATAAGATTGTTTGGCACTCCTCGAAAATATAAATCTAACATCAAATATAAATATATAATCTAATGTTAATTTACGTGAATAAACATAATTGAATCCGAATAATTAATCACCTCTAAATTATATTAATGCAACCATATCTCTTTAAATTAGCCGACCCTTTTTTCCTATATGTAATGAGATAGGGAGAGATATGATAGTAGACTGCCCCCAAACGCCAGGTTAAGAGCAGCTTCCGTGGAGACTTCCAAATTATGAAATATCCTCCGTGGGGCTCGATCTCATATTTTAAGTTATTTTTAAATTTGATCTAAAAATTAAAAAATAAATTATCAATAGCTATCGATAATGTTGTCAAAATTAATTTCAGTTATTGACAACTTTATCTATATTATAAAAAAAATCAGGTTACTTTTTTTAATTTTTAGGAAAAAAATTACTCGAATAATAGTGAACTAAAATTATTTGCTCGAATAATATATATTCTACCGTAATTCCTAAATTGTAATGAACACAGTGTGATTTCAATTGGGAAGCACATTGTGATTGATTCTTTTTTGTAATAATGATCAAAATTACAGTTAAACTCTAAACTTTGAATCATAAACTCTAAATCATAATATCTAAACTTTAAATCATACGTATAAACTTTAAATCTTAAATCCAAAATTAAAAATAACAAAAAATACTAAAATATGGGGGAGACTCATTGCACTCAATGCACCTCCCAAAAATGTTTTAAACTTATAATATTAAATCTTGAACTCTAAAATTTAAACCCAAAACTCTAAATCCTAAATGATACATAAATCTTAAATTTTAAGCCCTAAACTTAGATCGTACATCTAAACCCTAAATCCTAAACCTAAAATAAAAAACATAAACCAACAAAAATAACAAAATATGGAGGGAGACGCGTTGAATGCAATGCGTCTTCCCAAAATTATATTAGAGTCATATTATAAGTCATACATCTTAAACTTATACCGTAACAAATATTCTGTTTCAAAAAATAATTTCAACTGATCATTATTCGAACTAATAAAAAATTACAATACATTTTTAAAAAAAATTCCCAAAAATTCATTATTTATTCGAATGATTAGTTACCATCCCTAAATTTTATTTTGTTTTCCAATATTTTTTTCTCTTAATTTTACCTATAAAAAACAGAATTATTACAGGAAAATAATAATAATGAAAGATCTGCTAGATAGTGACTGTTGAATCCAATCAACCATGACACGTCAGCAACGAGACACTACTCTCCTTGTAAATTGTTGCTTTAATCGGATTTTACGCCAAAAAAAATAGCCGTGATAATATTAATGTCTTTATTACAGTAGGACTTTTATAAATTAATATTTAATAAATTAATAATCTTTCTTAAATAATAATTTTCTATTCTTATTTAAGTGTGAGATTTAAATTAATAAGATAATAATTTTTTAAAAGATTCTTATATAAATTTATCGTCCTTTCAAAATGATAAATTAATAATTCTATAAAATTATAAATATAATTAAGATGACTTAATAAATATGATTATATTATTTTTTGTTTATTCTTAAAATTTAAATCTAGTCGTATTTCAATTATAACTTTCTTTATTGTATCCAAAAGTGTGTTGCATTCTCATACAATAACAACAAATTGTGAAGAGTTATTATCGATATGGGTGTTTTCTTCCGCGTAATTGGTTCCAAAGATATTATATCATTATCATCTCCATTCTCAATAAAATTTTTAATAACACTATCTATAATTTATTCTAAATTTTGGACCTCTGAATATGATCATTTTCACCTAGGTAATTCAATAGGTGATTGACTTCCATTTTGTTGTAGTACCCAAAGACACTTACTCATCGTATCAAGTTCATGAATATTTAGGAATCACTCCTAACCTAAATTTTACTGTACCAAAAAAATAAAACATTAAATATTTTAATTTTGATATTATAAATAAAAAGTTAAATAAAAAAAGTTGTTGTTATTATAAATCTTATAATATTATTCATTTATTTGATTAATAAATAAAATATCAATAATAATAAAAATATACAAAGCTATGATATGTTATATCATGTGATAAGCTTTAATGATAGCAGTCCACAGAGTTTAAATCTAGGCCGTAGGATTTCTGACACGAGGACTTTATCAATCTATCCGAGCTAATAACAGAAAAACCTCTATTTTTTCCATAATTTAAATTAAATCCCACCTTTCTCGTTACAGTAGCAGTTCACCACTTCATATATTTCTACTTCAAAAGGAGCCTCCTTTCCTATCTCCTTTTTTCCCTCGGGGGTTTCTCCTATGTCTGTGGGTTCTTTTTGAGGTTGAACTCAATAGCTTTGCATTAGTCTCGAAAGATCGAAGCATTTACTTCATCAAATGGCTGTTTTCCTGCTGCTTTTGCTCTTGCTTGTATCTGCTGTTTCCGGTGATGAAGGTGAGTTTCGTTGAAGCCACTTACTCAACTTAGACTTTAGCTTCATTGCTTTTGTGGATGCTTTTGATTATCTCTGTTAGTAAACCATTTTTGTCTTTGTTGTTTATATCCAATTCATTGTTGTTTCAGTGAAGGGTTTTGTCTATTTTTCTCTACTTTTCGTTTAGAACTTACTTCTTCATAGGCATTGATATGTTTTATGTAAACTTGTCTCTGCAATTTCTGGGTTCCAACCATTTGTTTGAATGATCAAGAGAAGATTCGATTTTTTTATATAAAAAAAACTGAAATCACAATGTTACTTTACTTTACAGAGAAAGAGAACAGTCTTTCTCATTGTTGGAAACTCCTCTGAAATTTCCATCTTTGATGGGAATCTCTAAATGCGTCCCAGCTCATGTGGTATTGCTTTACCTGTCTGAAACTGCATTTTTTTTTCAGAGAATATTCTGTAGGACCAAAATGACCCTTATGGAAGGGCTATAAATGTTGAATGTATTGGCATCCTAGGGAGTGTACATTGGAGGGTAGTATTGTCATCTTAAGTGTAGAAAGATGACATTCTTGCGTAATCGGTCCATTATATGTGTATGTATGTAGAAGCTGATCACCTCTTTGAAATGTTTCTTATGATGATTTAATTTAATATATTCCTCCAAAAAGAAGAAAACTTTAATATATAATCTTGGATATAGATCCAACCAACTGTCAACTGAGTTATGAATTCATGTGCTTTACTATCTGATATTTAACATCCATTGATGAAGATAATCATGTAAATGGTTATATCATTGAAAATGTTACTTCTACGATTGAACTGCACTTTTCTGTAGTTAATTGAGTTGGTGATTTTCTTTCTGCGACTTGGTTGTTTGATTCATATCTGTATGTGGGATCTCTCTTTGCAGATGCCTTTATTGGTGTGAACATCGGCACGGACATTTCCGACATGCCCAGCCCTACTGAAGTGGTTGCCCTTCTCAAGGCTCAGGGTATAAGACATGTCAGGCTTTATGATGCTGACCGAGCCATTCTCCTCGCGCTTGCCAACACAGGCATCCAGGTGACTGTCTCTGTCCCCAATGACCAACTCCTTGGTATCGGTCAGTCAAATGCCACTGCAGCTAATTGGGTGGCTCGCAATATTGTTTCCCATGTCCCTGCCACCAACATCACGGCAATAGCTGTTGGATCGGAAGTTCTCAATGCACTCCCGAATGCCGGTCCCATCCTAGTTTCTGCCTTGAAGTTCATCCATTCTGCTCTTGTTGCTTCTAATCTTGACAGTCAAATCAAAGTCTCTACTCCGCATTCTTCTTCGATTATTATGGACTCTTTTCCACCTTCTCAAGCCTTCTTTAACCGATCATGGGATCCAGTCATGATTCCGTTACTAAAATTTTTGCAGTCAACAGGGTCGTACCTCATGCTCAATGTATATCCGTATTATGATTACGTGCAATCAAATGGAAAAATCCCATTGGACTATGCCCTTTTCCGTCCTCTCCCTCCTAACAAAGAAGCTGTTGATGCTAACACACTCCTGCATTATACTAATGTTTTTGATGCTGTTGTCGATGCAGCATATTTTGCAATGTCTTATTTAAACTTCACCAATATTCCGGTTGTAGTAACGGAGTCTGGTTGGCCCTCTAAGGGTGACTCATCTGAGCCCGATGCTATAGTTGACAATGCCAATACATACAACAGTAACTTGATCAAGCACGTTCTTAACAAGACTGGGACTCCTAAACACCCTAGGATTGCAGTTAGTACATACATCTATGAGCTTTACAATGAAGATTTGAGAACTGGATCAGACTCGGAAAAGAACTGGGGGCTATTCGATGCCAATGGAATACCAGTTTATACCATGCATTTGACAGGTGCTGGTACTGTTTTTGCGAATGACACTACAAACCAAACATTTTGTGTTGCGAAGCGGGGTGCCGATCCGAAGATGTTACAAGCAGCTCTTGATTGGGCATGTGGACCAGGGGAAGTCAACTGTTCACCGTTGTTGCAGGGGCATCCGTGTTATGAGCCTAATAACGTGGTTTCCCACTCAACTTATGCTTTCAATGCATATTACCAGAGGATGGCCAAGTCTCCTGGGACATGTGATTTCAAGGGGGTGGCTAGCATCACTACAACTGATCCAAGTATGTGACTGAGATATTAGTTCTTATAGAATAAGACCACAAATATCATAATTTTCATTTTATTACGAGAATTGACGAGCTGACGGTTAACATTGTCCATTGGTGCAGGTCATGGTTCGTGTAGATTTCCTGGAAGGTATGCACTAATGCTTCTAAATGTTATTATTTTCTTCAAGCTAGATTATGATGGCCGTGAAGCAATCTGATTATATGACTTCAATTTTCACAGTAGTTTCGGGAAAAACGGGACTTTATTTAATGGCACATCACTGGCTCCGTCGTTGAACGATACGAGTTCAGGATGCCCACCACAATACCATGGGAGTGGTTCTTTCACAACCTCTGTGATAATAGGTGCTTTGCTCATGGGCGCTGTTTCCTTGTAGAACTTGTTTCTGTTTTAACAGCATCAAAATCTATTGAAAATTCCGATTCTCCGTCTCGTTGGAACACATGCAGCATATCCGGTTTTGTTTCTCGTATGAGTTCGAGTTGCACGATGGAAAATTTGATCATGGAAACATTTGGCTAGAAAGGTAGTTTTAAAGATGAGTTATTCAAGATTGTTGAGGTGTTTGTCTCTTATAACAGTGGGCAGTGGGTTGTATTCTTTGGATTTTGTTTGAAGTTCATATTGTGTACTTCAACATATTTGTTGGATCAGCCAAAGGCTTCTCATTTTTATACATTCAAGTTCATATTCAACCTTAAACTACTAAACAAAGATGAAATTTTATCCACTCTCTTGTTCATCGGCTCATCCCTTCTTCCACTGCCAATAGGATACTGGCCAAAGTCATCGGCACTTCTCGTATCCAGGGAGAGAAGCGGTCACAGAGGCCTGATGACCAAGGGACTGTAGTATTAGTCTTAACACGAGTGTCTGTCGTTTGTGGCGGCTTCTTGGCCGAGCTGCGATAGTTGTGGTGGTGGAGCTGAGAACTTTTCTAAACCACTTGGGTTGAAGGAATCCATGGATGGATACAGAATACATGGCTATAAGGTGCTGAAAATTATTAGAAAATTTATCTAAAAATAAAAAAAATGAGATTTTTATTAGAAATTTGTTTTGAAGAATATAATAATAAGTTGTAAAATTATCATAAATTTTTTCTTCATAAATCTGGGTGAATCCTAATTCCACCTTATAAATAAAAACTGAGATTTAATGGTAATTTTTTTTTTAAAATTCACATCAACCGAATAAATTTTTTTAATGATATTAACGTTTTAAATTAAATATATTTATAAAAAGTTATTCGATAAAAAATTATGGATAGAGTGCTGAAGATTTATATATCAAAAAACTATATTAAAATATCTTAATTACTATCTAAAACAATAAATTTTAATTATTTTTTAATTAAGTTGATATTCGAATTCGATCAATTTGTGACATCAATTTAAATATAAATTAAATAATAAATAAAAATCACCCCGAAAATTTCCTAAACCCAAACTTCAATACTTACATTAAGTCATCATCACTGAAATCACCGTCATCTTTTCCCATTCGCCAAACTAAACCCCTAAAGCAAATCCACACAAATTCAATAAAATCTAAAATCAATAAACAATAACAAATAGTAAGCAAAAGTTTATATCATTGTATGATCGAAGATGACATCGCTGGTTGAAGCACGACAGATACAACGGAAAGGAGCACTAACAACACCATATGATGTCAAGTTTCCAGCGAGCCATTTTCAATAACCATCACAATTAACTTTCAAGTGAACCAGTTTTCCCAGGTTACTCGCATCCATAAAACACGTGTTCTTCAGATATTTGTCTTTGAAAACTTTACACCAAATGGTGTTATGTTCTTGGAACATTCTTTATCCATTCTTCCCCATTAACGCTTGGTTCGTTAATCTTGCTTTTCGTATTTCGAGACACGCTGCTGTCTTTCGTTTAAAAATAATGTCCAAACTGGTTCGATGATTGTGAGTGTAATTTGGTCTCCTTCCCATAAGAAAATTCAGTTTAGTCTATCCAACTTATCAGTCGTTGACGTCGATATCATGGCTGTTTGCATCGTGTGCACTGGAATGGTCGAAGTAACGGATTGATCCAAAGTCCGATGACCTGCCAGAGATAGAGCCTTCCTTTTCCAGCTGGCCAATTTCTTCATCACCTTTTCCACCAAGGGAGCATAAGTGTCTGTGTTTACCCTATTATGGATGATTGGAACACTCAAGTATATTTCGAGATTATTCGTCCGAGGAATACCGCTTAGTTGACATAAATAATTCGGAGTCTCGTTACTCGTATTCGTATAACACTCAAGAAATTGCTAGTTGACCTTGTCGAAGGCTTTTTGGAGGTCGATTTTCATGATCGCTGCCCCTTTTCGGCCTTGAAAATTCATGAGGGTATGGACCGCCTCCTGACCCAATAGGATGTTGTCCGAGGCACTTCTTTGAGCCAAGAAACTGTTTTGATACGGACCAATAATTCTTTAGAGAGTAGGTCTGATTCAATGAACCAGAGTCTTGGCCAGAATTTTATAAGAAGTGTTGAAGAGACTTATAGGGCGGAATAAGGTCAACCTATGGGCCACGCCAGTTTTGGGATAAGAACAAGGTAGACTTTCAAGATACGTCTGTCTCAACATTCCCGAAATTGAATAATACGATCGATACAATTCGAGCTACTACCTTCTCTTTCCTCGGTCGAGGAAATATCATTGAAGTCACCCACAACGGTCCAAGGTTTATCAACAGCGTTATAGTAGCCGCTCATATCGTTCCAAAACTCAGATTTTTTATTGGTGTGGTGTTGAACCTAAGCGAAGGTTGTTAACCAAACTTGTCATGTTCCTTTAGTTCACAATGAACCGCCTGGTCAGTGTTATACTTGATCTTCAACGTTAATTGACTCGAATTTCATAGGATAATGAGGCCTCCACGCCTCCCATCAGTTGGAACCTCAACATGATCGTTGAATTTCACCTTATTCTGTAATGGTCCATAATCTTCCAAGGTCCTTCTGTTAAGACTTTGATCCTATCATTCATGCTTTGGAGTTTATGGCGTAAAAACCATTACCCAGATTGATGCAGTCAAAATCGCTTTCAACTTTCCACATCGAGGTGATTCTTCTTATTAGAATCTTATAAGAAATCGTTTTCCCCATAACTTTGATAATCAAGGCTTTCCTCCATGGTTTACGTATTCTCTCTTTCACTTCTTTATCAATCTTGATTGTTGGGATACCATCTTCCTCCATCTATTCTTCAACCTCCGATTCATATTCTTCTTCCTTGATTCTTGTCGAGCTGTTAAACATCTCGGTTAAGATGGGTGAATCTGCCACAGTATCTTTCCAAGTCCTTGTCCATGTTCTTTCTTTCGTCGTTTCTTCTCCTTCTGAAGTTCTGATTCGTTTGTAGTTTTTGCCTGTAGTTTCAGATTTTTCTCCTACCTGGGCCACCTCTGTGACCGGCAGGTTGTCCTCCATCATGGGCGTTCAGTAGCGCAGTAATCACGAAGTTTCCTCTTCTTCTCAAACGATAGGTCACATGAGAGAATTTTTTTTTAAACGTTACGATGTATAAATTAATAAATTTAATTATAATTTAAATTAATATATTTTAAATTTTATAAGATAACGTTTAAAATAATTATTTTATATCTTGAAAAATATTTTTAACAATAATTGTACACACTTGAATTTGAAACAACACTTTCTAAAAGTATTTTTTATATCACTTCAAAAAAAAAATGATAAACAGTAAGGGTGTGCAAAAATACCTGACCCGATTGACCCGATCCGAACTTAAAAAACCGAGTAATTTTTTTTAAAAAAATTACCCGATCGGCTCGGCCCGGGTCACAAAATTGAGTTTTCCATGGTACCCGAGTACCTGGTTAGTTTTTTTTTTATTATATATATATATATATAAAATATAATATATTATTTATATTATGGATTATTAGATTTTGTATTTCGAACTTTTAAATTTTATGTTCGGATGTTGGAGTATGTAATTCGAAGTTTCGAACATTTAAATTTGTATATATATTTTTTAATTTATAATTTAAAAATGGAAAAAATATCAAATAACCACAAAATTCAAGTATCTAATAACATTCAGTACCCGAATTTGCAAATCCCTAATAAACAGGCGCTAATTAGTTGCTTTCTTTGCAAACAAACATAATAATAGCGTGAGGCTTTAATTGCTTGTATTATCCTCGCCAAAGCCATACATAAAAGCAAGAGAAAAGAAAATAATTAATTGCGTCACATGTTCTTAAAGTATGACCATCATTTTAAATTGGTCTCTAAACTTTTAAATATTTTAATTTCATTTTTAAATTATACGCATCATTTTAAATTGAATCTCAAAATTTTGAACATTTCAATCTCATCCCTAGACTGTGACATTCATTCTAAATTAGTCCCCAAACATTCCAATTTCATCTCAAACTATATGTATATACTAATGAAATCTATTGTTAACAAAATCACCACGCCAAAGTTATATTACTATATGTTTGAAAAAACAAAATTTAGGTTAAACTATGGTTAAAGCTAATTATATATTTGGATGAATTTGGGGATAAAATTAGAATATTTAAAATCTTGGGGACTAATTTAGAAAAAAGAGTTATAATTTAGGGATGAAAATAAAATATTCAAAAGTTAAAAGACTAATTTAAAATGAGAGATATAATTTGGGGATGAAATTAGAATATTTAAAATTTGAAGGACCAATTTAAAATAAAGAGTTAATTGCATCACATGTCTCTAAACTATAATCCTCATTTTAAATTGGTCCTTAAACATTTTAATATTCTAATTTCATCCTTAATTTACGACTCTCATTTCAAATTAGTCCTTAAACTTTTGAATATTCTAATTTTATCCCTAAATTATGACCCTTTTTCTAAATTAGTCCCCCAAAATTTTTGAATATTCCAATTTTATCCCCAAAGCATCCAAATGTGTAATTAGTTTCAACCATAGTCTAACCTAAATTTTAATTTTTTTTCAAACATATAATAATATAACTTGGTCTAATGATTTTATTGACAAGGGATGTGATTATTATATGCATATAGTTTAAGATGAAATTAGAATGTACAAATAGTTTCTGGACCAAATTAGAATGAAGGTAATAGTTTGGGGATGAAATTGAAATACTCAAAAGTTTGATGACTAAGTTAGAATAATACTCATAGTTTATAGATGAAATTGAAATATTTAAAACTGTTTAGACCATTTGGAAAAGAGGGTAATAATTTGAGGATATATAATGAATTAACGCAAAAGAAAATTAAAAAAACGAATAAAAACTAGAATATATATTTAAGGAAAGCAAGCACTGTTCTTTTCATTGTTTTGCCAACTTCCTATCCGATTCTCCATAGTAAAACATTTTGCTTCGATCTCTCCAAGGAGTGAGCTCCATGTCCTCTCTCGATTTTCACTCCTATTTTATAAACTTCTGTTTATTAAGATCTGGGAGATCCGTAACTGGAATTGGTTGATCTGCGTTGTGCGTTTTGCAGATTTTATAACAAAAATGGTTTTCAAGGTATCGAAAGTGTCAACTACGCCGTTCGACGGTCAGAAACCCGGGACATCTGGCCTCCGCAAGAAGGTTTTTTTTCCTTTTCTTTCTCGTTTAACTTTATAAATCCGATTCCTTGAGCTCTCGTGTTAGATGACTCAGATCTGATAATTTTGATCAAATTGATCCGTTTAATTGATGCATGCAAGTGCTTCTCGTCTAATCAGATCGAATTAATGTTAAGCTGTAATTCGGTAGTGTATAGCGGGAAAAGGCCGGAATTGTATCATTTTGGGTGCTGATTTATTTTTTATGTTTGAAGTTTTAATTAATCGTGATTCATTTTTCTTTTTATCTTTCAAATCTGAATTATGGGTCTTTGTTTCACTGGAAAATGTTTTTAGATAATAATTTCTAAAAATTAAATTATATTTTCTATAAAACAATTTCTAAAAACCATTTTCTTGCTATTTAATATTTGTTTTCAGAAAGTATTCATTATTTTTTTATTTAATATTATTCATTATAAAAACTTAATAATATTTAAAAAAATATTATATAGTAATTTAAATAATATTATTTATGATAAAATATTATTAAATCATTTATACCCATCTATGATACTTCTTTTTCCTTCAAACTTTCTTGTTTAATATGTCAAATACTTAAAAGAAATATTATTAACTTTATTTTAATATACATGTTTTTTCTTTCTAGTTGTAATTGGTTTTACATTTATGAATCTATTTTATTTGAATCAAACACCGAAAAACAAGGAAAATGGTTTCGTAAAACATTTTACAGGAAACAAACACACCTTAAGTTTTTTTTTTTAATTTATTTTCTCTGATTGATGAAGTTTTCTTCCTTTGTCATGGTCGGATTGAATTTATGGTCACATTTTCTAGTCAAATGTATTAACTTTTAATGCTTGTTTCAGTTCAGATCATAATATCCGGTTGTGAATTTTTAATTATTTGAAATGTAATTTTTGTTAGTTTATTTTATGAGGAGAATCCACTTACACCATCATTTTGTATTTTTTACAATTTATATTTATTTAATCCAACCATTTTATTTCAATCTCTATTCATGTATACTATGCTGGTGAATTTCAATTTAATTAACAATTTGAACTATTTAGGCGATATAGGAACTCACAGCTAATTAAATTATAATGAAAAAGATAGTGTGGTATTAAATCGATTCTGGGGTGGATACAATTATGTTCGTTTGACTGAATGATGTGATATTTTGGTCTTTCCAGGTGAAAGTTTTTATTCAACCTCATTATTTGCAAAATTTCGTTCAGTCAACATTCAATGCCCTTACATCAGAGAAAGTTAGAGGTAGGGTTTTTTTATTTACGATATGTCTCTTTGTTAATCTTATTTATTTTCTATCTTTAGAGGCATAACATGACACTCTAAATATGCACTTAGACGCTCACAACTGAGGGGTCAGTTGAGGTATATCCACTTATATCGGGTTTGCACACAATTTTGCTTTGCCATATCAGGGCTACTTCTGTGAAAATGATGTATGTACCCTAAATATGCTTTGGACATTGACAATTCTTTGGATGGTTCATCAAAATGTTCTACTTTTATCTTAAAAAATATTTAGTCCTTGCATTTGACCAGCGGAAAGAGCTTTATTAATTAATTAGTACACGTTCATCATGCTTTACCTTGGATTGTTATTTTGTCTTTTAACAACTGTATGAATATCAACTATAACCTTATATTAAAAACGAGTCCTTGGGTCTTGGGGGACATTTAAAATTTTGAGCCTTTTATTTTTTGTCATCTCTGATTCTTAGGCCTTTTTGGACATTGGTTTTTGTTTCTGTTTTTCCTGAAGAAGGAATGGAAAAATGAAAGGGAGGAGGAAGTGAGAGATGGCAGCTGCCTGTGCCATCCAAGCTGTTACCTGGCGGCAATGAAGTGAGCAAGAGATACTAGAAAAATAGAGAATCATATATATAGGTCAACTTGAGCAAAGTTCTGAAATTCTAAAAATTCTGAGACCCTTGGATCACCTAAAGAGCTCGGCACTATAAACATATATCCATATACCATATTGAAAATATCAAGTGGTAACGTAACTTATTTTTTTTAGTTCCATTACATTCATCTAATTTCATTTACCCCCAGGAATAGGCTATGAACAGATAACATAACCACCTTCCTATTCTTGAAATGAAATAGTGTTCATTTTTCTGAATTGAAAATTCAAATCGTATGAAATTATTTTCTTTTTTTATTCCTTAAATTTTTAGTTTTGTGGTGAAGAGAAAAAGGGAACGTGCCTTTAAACTACCACCTAAAGAAGCTGTCTCACCTTGTTCATTGCAAGTCCTGTTTGATAGATTTTCCCTGCACCTCAGTGCATAGGCCTGCCCCTCTACCACATTTGATTCCATACTTCATGTTTCATTTTCAAGTACGTACAAGACGACTGCACTATTCTCCTGATGCGAGATGTGTACCCTTACTTGGAACATAGAGTGCATTGGTATTTTTCTGAAAAATGAATACACACATGTTTATGATCCATTGCCAACTAGTTCAATTTCTAGCATCACAAGCATCCTCCAATGTTCTGACAACATACAGTTATAATTTGTTGGATGATGATTGTAGAGCATTTTCCAGTCAATATTGATTTTTCACCAGCATGTTTTGTATGGTAGTTTGGAAAAATTTCATTCCTTAGCTTGAAAGAGTGATATTGAATTATTTGAAAGGAAGAACTTATATCATAATTAGTACTTTTTTTCTGCTTCATTTCATTGTCATAGAGGTATCTTCTTTTGCTTGATCACATTTATTAAGTGGACTAAAATTCTCTTACTTCTATTCATGGTTGTAGGTGCCACACTTGTTGTTTCTGGTGATGGCCGTTATTACTCAAAGGATGCTATTCAGGTGCTGCAAATTTAAATCTAAACTAGCAGTTATTTTTAAATAATTTTCTTAAGCTGTCACATAATATTTCTATATTACATTGTAGCATTTTGTACTTGTATCACGTATGTATATTATTGATATTGGTTTCTGGGTGAAGTAGACGGTTAATGTTCAAACCAGATACTTGTATTTTTGGAGAACCATCTAATCAGCATAAAAACACGTGATAGTTTTGTCTAGTTAATTCACATTATTCATCTTTGAATCCCCTTATAATTTTTGTTGGTTATCCTGTGATAATTCTCTTGTTCTGTTTCTTTTTCTTCTGAAACATTGTATTCTTTTTGTTGAGTCAATATTTATCATGAATAAGTTGTCCAATTATATGCTTAACAGAATCTACGATGAACACACATATGCACACATCCTTTGGCACTGAGAGCAAGAAATTTCTTGTTATTTCATTAAAGGAGTGCTCTTTTTTCTTCTGTAATGGCAAATAATGTTTCTTTTTCTGGACTTTCCTTCTGAACTTTGGTCAGTGTTGAGAGATTGAGGCTTAAAGCTTATGTATGTATTTGTCATGCCTTTGTGAAGTGGGTTGAAGTGGTTTTGGACTTGGCTATTTTACTTGTGTAAACCTAGTATGAGGTTCTAGTCAAAATTTTACTGCTTGTTTTTATATTACGTAGTGATATAAAGTTGCTACATGTGCTATTGAGAGCTTCTAGTGTGTTTCCTTGTATTATGATGCCATCTATTTTTGAAAATGGTAATATTATTTTTGGTAATCAGTCCTTAACTATCATATCAAATTGTTCAGAATGGTAATGCCTTTTGTAAATTGACAGATAATAATCAAGATGTCAGCTGCAAACGGAGTAAGGCGTGTTTGGGTTGGTCAGAATGGATTACTTTCAACTCCTGCTGTATCAGCTGTGATTCGCGAAAGGGTTGGTGCAGATGTAAGTAATATTGTTCCAATTTCAGTACATCTAGCTGTTATTATGTTTTCTTTACACTTTGTAGTGTTGTGTTATTGTGAGAAGCCAGTGTATATGATTAAATTTTGACAATTTTAAGGTTCACCCATAAAATTCTTTTCCAGGGATCCAAAGCAACTGGAGCCTTTATTTTGACAGCTAGTCACAATCCAGGTGGCCCTCATGAGGTATGCCTCCATGATTTTGTCTATTTTCTAAAATTGTTCTGTATGCAATATGTTAATGATGTATGATTGCTTTTGCTTTTGTTTCTTTATTACAGGATTTTGGAATTAAATACAATATGGAAAATGGTGGACCTGCTCCAGAGGCCATCACTGATAAGATTTTTGAGAACACAAAAACAATAACTGAATACTTGACTGCTGATGACCTACCAAATGTTTGTCTTGCATCCATAAAACAATAATTTCTCCATTTTTATTACATATATGTTAATGTTGTCAATCTATTGCAAAATCCAGGTAGACATCAGTGCAACTGGTATTAGAAGCTTTGAGGGGCCTGAAGGACAATTTGATGTTGAGGTTTTTGATTCAGCAAGTGACTATGTGAAATTGATGAAGTAAGTTATTTTTCCACATGAATATGTTTTTGCCTACTTTATACGGACTAGCAGCACCTTTTGGATAGTGTTCTTTGTTCTACTTCACTACCATCCTGTACCTCCCTTGATAAGACTGAAGAAAACATTGCATGGGCAAAGTTCTAGTACCTATTATTTATCTTCCTATCGTTGGCATCTTGATTTATTGATTCTGATCAGGATTCTATACTTGAAGCATATGCATGTAATCTAAATACCAAATCCTTTTGCCTATACTGCCCAGGTCAATTTTTGATTTCGAGCTCATCCGCAAGCTGCTTTCATCTCCCAAGTTTACATTCTGGTATGTGGATTTTGCCTTTCTGCAGAGGTCTTTGTTTATTTTGCTTGAGACGTGTAACTCTTTTCCCTCATATTAAAGCTATGATGCACTGCATGGAGTTGCTGGAGCTTATGCAAATTGCATCTTTGTGGAGGAGCTTGGAGCACAAGAAAGTTCACTTTTGAACTGCGTTCCCAAGGTCTTTTAAGTTCTTTGAAGAATTTTAAAGACTGATATGTTCTGTTTATCTGAGTGGATTACACTTTTTTATTATTATTCATCGATGTAATGCACATCAGGAGGACTTTGGAGGCGGGCATCCCGACCCTAATCTGACGTATGCAAAGGAGTTGGTTGCTCGGATGGGATTGGACAAATTGAACGCTGAAGTTGAACCACCAGAGTTTGGTGCTGCTGCTGATGGTGATGCTGATCGTAACATGATCCTGGGAAAAAGGTAGTGCCGGGGTGTAGAAATCTAGTTAACATTCCTAACAATGATTACATCTACTTGATTTTTCTCTTATAACTTGATTTTTTAGGTTCTTTGTCACTCCATCAGATTCAGTTGCTATCATTGCTGCCAATGCCGTTGATGCAATTCCTTACTTTTCTTCTGGTTTGAAGGGAGTTGCCAGGTTTTCTACTTCTCTGTTCAGCTTCTTTTATGTGCATAAGATGTTTTTACCTTCTACCTATTTATAATTCAGATGGTGCACTTTCCAGCTCATCCTTTCAACAATCGATGACACTGGACTCACAAGTATAAAGACTAAATGTAGAACCTCTAACATTCTCAGCATCTTTAAAGCTTATTAAAAAGGTCGTTCTGTATTTGAAATCTTTTACAAGGTTAATAGTGTTTGTATCCTATCTCCTTGACATGCTCAAGTGGATCTTTATACTTGTGTGGACAAAAATAACATATAGTTTTTTGAACAAAATATATAGGTTTAAAATGTGAGAGAAAGGGTGGTTTACGTTCAAGTATGCCTCGATGTTATTTGTCTTCATGCCCGCATGATGTGCTTCATCTAGCACTAGAACCCACTTTAGCTCAAATGCTATTTTAATCTAATTAAGATAAAACATCACCAATGCAAAAACATGTATTACACACAGGGATGAACCAAAGGGGGGCAGTCGTCCCCCTGAAAATTTAGAATTACTATATATTTTAGATTGTTCTATGTATTTTCTATTGAAAATCTGTTTTTGCCCCCTGCAATTTTATAAATTCAAGTTGCCCCAAACATAAAATCCCGCGTCCGTCCCTGGTTCCACAGTCAAACTCTAATATGTTAATTTTTTCTGTTCACTACTTTAATTTTAAATTTTTGCTGATCTCCATTGAAATTGAATTTTAAGAATTATATTCTGTACCTGCGGCTTGTAGGAGCATGCCCACTTCAGCTGCCCTTGATGTTGTGGCCAAGCACTTGAATCTGAAATTTTTTGAGGTACTCTATGGAAAAAGGTTTATTGTAGCTTTTGTCGTTATAAGACAGCTACTTATCTATTATATTCTAGGTACCCACTGGCTGGAAATTTTTTGGCAATTTAATGGATGCTGGAATGTGTTCCATTTGTGGAGAAGAAAGTTTTGGAACTGGTAACTGTTTGTTACTCCAATCTGTATATCGGTTTCATTTTGAACTCTAAAAACTTACGAATTCTTTTATTTGTGACAGGTTCTGACCATATACGCGAGAAGGATGGAATTTGGGCCGTTTTGGCTTGGCTTTCAATACTTGCATATAAAAATAAGGATAATCTCGATGGAAATAAACTTGTAACTGTTGAGGATATAGTCCGCCAGCATTGGGCTTCCTATGGTCGACATTATTATACTCGATATGACTATGAGGTATATATAACATTTCTCTATTTTGTTCCTAGTTTTGTCCATATAGGTATTGAGAGGTATCCAACTAATTCAGTTTCTTTCATGAAGAACGTGGATGCTGGTGCTGCAAAAGATTTAATGGCATATCTGGTCAAATTGCAGTCATCTCTCGATGAAATTAATGCGTACGTACACATTCTATTTTAGAACTACTTAACCACTCCCTAATTTTCTGCAGATACTTATGCTGAAAGGCCATTCTCTTCCTGCATTGTATTTGTTTTTATTGCTTAAATATAAACAAATTAACGCCATATTAATTGCTGTAAACGGTGTTATCTTCTAACAAGTGACAAAGTGATATGGAATGAACCTTGTTACGTTATCCATGCTTATGGGGGTGTAGCTGTTGGTGCTATAGTTATTCCTGCTAGTTTGATGAACTTTTTAACAGCCTAAAGCCTTCATTTTAGTGTTTGGTTTTACTTTAAATCATCTTTAAATAACTACCTTATCTCCAAATTAGTGAGCTTATAGGTTTAAAGTTTATAATCTTTCAATTTAATAAGTTCTTCTCATAGGCTTAGTTAGTTACAACTATAATCCTTTTGATTATAAGTTTATATTATGATTCTTGGAATGACATTAGTAAATGTTCTACGCAGGAGTCATACATTGCATTTGGCAAAATTTCGTAATGGTTGCAGTCATTATTCCTTCAAATTTTCCAGGGGGTTTTTACTTTCTTTTGATAATCTTATGACTTCTATAATGCAGTATAGTGAAGGGGGCTCGTTCGGACGTGTCAAATGTTGCGAGTGCTGATGAATTTGAATACAAGGATCCTGTTGATGGTTCTATTTCAAAGCACCAGGGCATTCGGTTTTTGTTCGAAGATGGGTCACGATTGGTGAGTCTCTTTCCCGACTCTTTTACCAACGAAAAGTTATCTGAGCGAATCTTGTCGTTTTGTGGTGCATCGAAAATAATTTCAAGAGTTCATCTGAAGAATAAGTAACTGAGATTTATTTACTTGATTTCACCCCCTGTTTGTAGGTGTTCCGTCTCTCTGGAACTGGATCAGAAGGCGCGACCATCCGTCTCTACATTGAGCAGTATGAAAAGGATTCTTCAAAAACCGGAAGAGAGTCCCAAGAAGCACTTGCTCCTCTTGTGAGACATCCTTAAAACTCCCGTCTTAATGTTGACCGCCTCATTTTAGATTTTACGTTCTGAGACCAACATTTTTGTTCAATGTCAGGTGGAGGTTGCCCTAAAACTTTCAAAGATGCAGGAGTTCACTGGCCGATCTGCTCCTACCGTTATAACATAGATCCATATACTACGAGTTACGGGTTGCCTGGTTCGACAAACATAAGTACACTTCTCAATCCCTGTTTTAGTAGCCTCCGTTTATGTCTTTCCGCACGGGTACCATGTGTGTACAGGGAGCGTGTAATAAATGACGGATACTGCTAACTCATCAAAAAACAAAATTACAGGGTTCATGAAATTTAATTTGGAACTTCTTACCATTACTTTGGGGTTTAATTTGAATCTCTTTCTCACAACCTCACTGCCCCAATGGTTAAAAAACATTTTACCTCTCGTCCAATTATGAAAAACTATATACATAATATATTATTTAAAAAAAACAACAACAACCAATTGTATATAGCTTAGGCTGTGGGTAGATATAATTTCATGTTTAATACTAATACATGAAGAATCCTAATGGATAAGGCATGAAGTTTCTAATTGGTGTGGGTTGTCATACAAGAGTAATGTACAAAGTTTAATTGTCGTAGTGATACAAGAGTAATGTTCAAAGTTAAACTAATGAATGCAAAAATATGAAACATCATTATTTGGGTGAAAATCATAATGGACTTTGAGGGCCAAACAGACTTGAGAAAATCAGTGAAATTTGGGTGAGACTGCCAAACCTCGATGAATGAAAAGGTCTATTATGCGACCGACTACTCTCCTAATCTAAAGTAACAATCAAAGGCCAATGATCCGACCCTAGTCTATCTAAATGAAGAACGACAGACACCTATCTAACCTTTGATACAAATTACCCCTCAACCAAGTGAACGACAGACCACAGAAACCAAGATTAGATAAACCATTAGAGTAAAGAAAGTCTGAAAACAACCGACTCTCATAATTATTAATAGAAGCTCCCCCTCGCCTCTCCTCAGCATAGAGAATGATATTAAAGTCTCCTCCAATAATCCAAGGGACATCATTATCCGTATTAATAGATGCAAGTTGACACTAGAGATTCTTACGACCAGCTTTAGAAGGGCTAGCATAAACAGTAGTTAATTGGAATTTAATTTTTCTATCATCCGTAGTAACCATTAAGTTGATAAATTGATTAATGATCTGAAGAACATCAATAATGACATTAACATTCCAAAGCAACCAAATCCCTCTACTGAAACCATGAGCTTCAATACGGAATGAATGAGGATAACCAAGTTTCGAAATGACCATATTCCGTAATATACCCACTAATCCACGGTTTAAACAACGCAACAATCGATAGTCTATGATCACAAATAAATGATCTAAAATAACATCAAAACGCCCGGCTCGCTGCACCCTGACAGTTCCAAAACATTATTTTTGTTGATAAATAAACAACGAGAATAAAATGAACCTTAGAGTTCGGCTACGGCGTCCTCTTCATTAGGGTTGTCCGAGGTGTATCATTGCTCATCGTCCGAGGATTGTATCATAGGAGATCCACCGTTTGCATCCAAAGTCTGCCCCCGCCGAATCTGTTCAGCACCCATCACCAGCTGATCCAAGCTAGTAGCGATATGTTGAGCTAAATCGGGAGTAGACATGCTAGAATTAACCCGAGTAATAGGCTTAAAAGATAACAAAGAATTTTTCCGAGCATCTGGCCCCTTTTTCTTGACTCAAGGCCAGCTTTCCACTTTATCCATCGTCACCCTTTATTGTTTTGGATGTCCTCGCAGTATCTTGTTCTCTGATTATAATGGCACGATGATTTCCAGGTTTGGTATTTGTAGCATGTTCCACAACTTGGATTTCCCCATATTTACTTAACAGAATAACCCCCACCGATTTAGGATCCTTCGTTGATTTGCCCTTTTCTCCAGATTAGATTCTTTATACGTAGAGTTCTTCGGATTCACCTTTTGTGTACGTTTCCCTATGGTGACGTTTTGTTTTTCCTTTCCAGCTTTCGTGCCTACCTCACGATCCAACGTGCCTTCATTACCATCTGGAACCATTTCAGCAGGTATTCCTTCTATCTCTAGGCTTGCAAAGCGTGATCCCGACCCTTTGGTAACGGTCGTTTTATCATTAGATCGATTCATTCCTCCTGTCGAAACGATTTTTTTAAAAAGGTGAGATTTTGAAAACCACATTAATTCTTAATTATCCTCTTTTTTAATTTAAAAACAAATGTGATTTAAAAGACCTCTCGTTTTGAAAAATTTTAGATTTCTTTTACGATCGAAAAATACGGTTTGAAGAGTCGCCACCAATCTTTGATTAGGGTGTAATTGGGCACCCAAAAATGTTTTGTCATTTTAAATAAAAATTAATTTTAATTAAAACAACAAATTGAGGTCTGCGTTACCAAAATCCGAGTTCGGGAGTCGGTTACGTGTGGGGAAGGATTAGCACCCCCACCCTAAATCGGTACCTAGTCGATTAATTAATGTCTTTGCAATGAACTTTACAAATTCGAATTTATTTTATTTTTTGATCCCATGAAATAAAAATGTAAATTTAAAACATTCAAAAGCACTCAAAATAATTAAATTAAAATTACCAAGTCGTTTTAGAAAGATAAAGAATGTTCGATTATTTATAAATATCGAGACCAGATCTTAAAGATATAACAACCTTTTCTCGATATATTTAAATAAACGAACATTTCTTTTTCTTTCGTTCCCAAATTTTAGGTGACGAATCAAATTTTTTGGTTTCACTTTCGGGATACACTTTTAATTTAAAATCATTAAAAGCGGACCTCAAATCAGTTATGACTGCCCACTTACAATAATTTTAAATTAAAAGGGCATTACCCTTAATCTAATTATGCAATATGTCGAGTTATGCAAATGAGATTATCATGTATATTATGCAAAATAATGCCATGCAAAAACTAATTAAAATATGTCATGCGCTCAAACAAATTTCTAAATCTAAAAAAACATGTATTTACGACATTAACATACATTAGAATAAAACCATATATACAATAAAACATACTATTAATAACTCGACTTCACATTCAAACTTACCATGAAGGACCATAATAAAATAAAATTAAACTAAGCATGCAAAATAAGAATTAACTATTAAATTAAAAAAACATGCTAAGTGACTAAATGGTCAAACAACCAAAATTACAAATTACATTTCAAAAATAAAACATAAAAACATTTCAGGACTAAAATGAAAAGCGCTCATAAATATGAAGACAAAATTAATAAGGTGCAAAAGATTCGTTCAAGGACCAAAATAAAAGTTCCGTAAATTACACAACCAAGGTAAAAACAGTACGAAAATGGCTCTAACATGATTCTGGGCTAAGATATAAAACGTTTAAAATTAAGAGACCATATTAAAATAACAACAAAGCTCGAAATGCCTGATTTTGGGGACCGAAATGGAATGCGTGCAGAATATTGGGCCAGAAATAAAAACTAGGAAAGTATCGGCTGAAACGACGGCGTTTTAGCTAATACTTTAATAAAATCTAACCTAAAAACAAAACCCTAATATCTAAACCCAACAGATCCCTCACCGTTCTCTATCACTCTCAACCGTCCCCTTCTTCCTCACTCACGACCGCCTTCACAGCCTAAGGAGCCTCTCACCCTCTCCTACGCTCGACTCCGATGAGAACACCATCTAAACCCGACGAGGGTTTGGCCGCACACAACTCTAGCCGAGAGCCAAAATCCTTAGACTTACCTTCGATCCATGAACGCCACCGAACCTCTCACATTCTCTATCTCTTTCTCTCAACAACCCAAAGCTGCTGTGTTCACTACTTGCAGTTGGTTCTGATGAGGAACCAAAACTCTTCTCTCTAACACTCTCCTTCACGAACGGCGCTGCTCCAAGCGCAACCCTACACGACTGGCTACCCCAACAGCCATAGAAACTACGGCCACCACACACAACGACCACCAAGGCCAAAACTAAAACTAAACCTAGCCAAACCTTTTTAAACCTCACCGATCTCCCTCTTAAACGACCAATGGAACAATGCAGAAACAAGAACAACCAGAACTCTCGGTTTCCTTATACTTGGTAAAGACAGAATTAAAAAAAAGGTAACGAACTAAACTTTTTCTTTTCTCATATCTTTCATTTGCTTGAAAATAAGAACACATAAAGAAATATTGGAAATCGAAGTACCGATAGAAAATTACTTTTTTTTGCTTCTTCAGTTTATGCATACAACGGTGAGATTCCTTGGGACTTTTCTTATGCGTGATCTCCTCGATGACTGGAATGAGGATACAAGCGACGTGGCGGTTCTCCTCTTCAACTCCGGTAAGTAAGGGTTACATTATCTCATTATTAGCTAAATAAATACTTGAATGGGTATTTTTTTGATTGGAATCTCTCTCTTTTTTTGATGTGTGTTAATGGTTAGGAATGGCTACCGATTTCTCCTCTGTTTTTTCGCGTCCGTGATCTCCTTCTTTCGGGTTTTTCCTTGGTTTTCTTTTCACTGGTTCTCCCTTTCTTTTTATTGTGTTCTTTTTTTTCTTTCTCTCTGAATGTCCCCCTTCTTTTTTTTTGTTGTGTGATCCTGCCTCCTTTAGTTTCCTGTCTGTGCCCCACGTTCTTGGTGGTTAATGGCTACACATAAACCGATCTTTTACAGTTTTCTTGAATGCTCAAAATATCTCTCTATTGCTAACGGCCCACGTTTTTTCTAGTTTTTAAACTTCCCAGACAAATTAAGCATCTACAGCTGCCCCTCTTTGTTCATTGTTGTGTAACGAGAATAGAGCAAAGATCAAAAGATGACCGAATTTGTCTGGTCCTGAGAATGTTACGTCAGGATAAATACTTGAAAAATCTTCAAATGATGAGCCTGCTCCCTATTCCTTCAGGAAGTATAAGACTCGAACAATCTTCATAAAACGTGTTTGCTCTCTATTCATTCAGAGAGTATAAGACTTGAACAAATCTTCAATAAAACGGGTCCGCTCCCTATTCTTTCAGGGAGTATAGGACTCAATCTTCAACAAACTTGTCCGCTCCCTATTCCTTCAGAGAGTATAGGACTCAATCTTCAACAAACTTGTCCGCTCCCTATTCCTTCAGAGAGTATAGGACTCAATCTTCAACGAACTTGTCCGCTCCCTATTCCTTCAGAGAGTATAGGACTCAATCTTCAACAAACTTGTTTGCTTCACTACTCTTTCGTGAAGGCTTATAGATGATTTGCTTCAAAGGTCAAACCTGAAAATCAAACATTATTCATCATGAA